TCGACACAAATCGCGACGAGAGCATCGCGACACACGCAGATTGTCATCAAAAGACAAACAACAACAACAACAACAACACGCACGACATGACGACGACCGACGAGCGAAACGATCTCCAACCAACTCGGACCCATCCGACCCGACAGATTCCGACATGTCCGACATGAGCGACTCTTCATCGCGTCATCGAACCTTCTCCAACAGACGAACGCCAAGTTCACAGCGTCGCATCCTCTTGGACTGTCGGCCAATCTCGGCGCGCCGTTCCTCTCGTCGTCACGGCAACCGACGTCACGCTTCACTGCGCAAAGAGGCCAGTGCCGGTTGGCATCAATCGCCCGACATTGACAGCTCCCGGTTGCTATGCCGAGTGCGAAGTCTCAGTTTGCGCAATCGTCAATTGGACAAATCATTGGCCAAATTGGTCACCGAGTTGGCCAATTCACGCCGCCCAGAAACCGGTAGTCATAGCGACTATTCCGGCCTCGACGAGGACAGTTACACCGACGAGAACGAGGCAAGGTACGCACAAATCGGTTGTCATCACACAACCAGACGTCAATTACACGCCCGACCCACCGGCAATTGGTACCACAATTGGCCGACTGCAAGAGCCAACAGTTCCTGTACCAGTCTGCCCACTTGCATGCACACAACACAACAGTGTCCAGCCGCTTTTCGAGGCATTGATGCACAGACGAGACATCCCAGTCTGTGCCATCGATACGCAGATCATCAAATGTACCGAATGCCACCACCACCGCCACCACCACCACCGCCGCCGCCAGTAGCGACACCAAGTGTTGGGCAATCTGTGTCTCAAATGGCAGCGAATGTGCAACCAACAGCACTACAAAGATGCGTGCCGTCTGTGTATGGAGAGTCTGTTTGGGGCGGACTGGTGCCGGTCATGTTTCCAACCAGCACGTTCATCGAAATGACGCAAGGAAGAGCGGCCTGTGGTGGACCGCCGACGAGATTGGGTCCTTTTACAATCAGTATTCCACACGCAAATGGGACTCAATCGAAGTATTCTTGCTATCCGAATTCATAAGATGAGAAAAAAACGCTACCGAAAAGCATGTTGAGATGGGAACACGAGACGGGATAACATTTCATTTGTATGCATTTGGTGAGAATAAATAATGTACAAGCTCGATCGTTTACATTTTCAACTCTGACGACGGAATTGCGCAAGACAGGTAAGCGTTAAGGTGACAAATGTGTAGATTTTGTGAAAGTCGACAAAGTGCAATGTTCTCTTGTGGAGAATGACTTTAAAATAATTTGTTGAGAATGTTTTAGAGGTGAGGTGGTCAAACAAATATTTGGTTTAATGTGAAAATAACGATTTTGTACATTTTGGGCTTAGGCTCACTTCTCAACTGACCTCCACGATACATCTAGACCACTTTTTTTTGCAAATTTCCCAACCCTGGTACCAGGTCATCATACCAACGGTCAAGTGGAAGATCATTTTTATCGTCAGGGTTGGGCGGAAAAGGCATATTTCAGTCACAAGATCATTGAATAAATTGTGAAAATAAGTGAGGATAACTAAGTAAAATGAGCTATTATTCCAACTTGTCAGTACATAAAAATGGAAATTATCGTAAATAATTGATGGCATCAAATAAAATGGGGCATATTTCTGTCAGACTAGATATGATTATACACTTAAATGTTGCAAATAAAGCGTTTTTGAGCAATTGTATTGGCAGTTAACGCGTTGTCTTTCATTGATTTCAAGAAGCGATTCCAAGATTGATTAACTAAATTAAGCAATTAATCTTGCATTACTTTAGATGTGAATAAAACTATTTAATTGACTTCACTATTATTCATCAATCCCATACATTTCAGTGCATTGGTACATGTGCAAGTGTAGACAGAAGAACTCATAAGTGGTAATTTAGAATAATTGACAAACGGTAGAAATGTAGATACATGAAATTCATCATTGCAATTGCTTAATAAATTTACTTTCAAATCCAAATTGGACAAATTTGCTTTGCACGTCAACTAGCAGTTTTTACAAAATATTTGGTTTAATATGAAAATAACGATTTTGTACATTTTGGGCTTAGGCTCACTTCTCAACTAATCTCCACGATGCATATGAACCACTTTTTTTGGCAATTCTCCCAACTGTGGCAACATGTCAGCATACCAACGGTCAAGTGGAAAATCATTTTTATGGTTAGATTTGGACTGAAAAGGCATATTTCAGTCACAAGATCTTTGAATAAACTGTGAAAATAAGTGACGATGACTAAGTAAAATGAGGTATTATTCCAACTTGTCAGTACATAAAAATGAAAATTATCGTAAATAATTGATAGCATCTCATAAAATGGGGCATATTTCTGTCAGACTAGGTATGAATATACTCTTAAATGTTGCAAATAAAGCGTTTTTGAGCAATTTTATTGGCACTTAATGCGCAGACTTTCATTGATTTAATGAAAATATTCCAAGATTGATTAAGTTCCTGTTGGTATACTGTCGTTTCCTGTCATAAATTGACTAAATTTATCCGTTAATCTTGCATTACTTTAGATGTAAATAACACTATTCAATTGACTTTACTATTATTTATCTATCATGTACATTTCAGTGCATTGATACATGTGCATGCGTAGAGAGAAGAACTCAAAAGTGGTCATTTAGATTCATCATTGCAATTGTTTAATAAATTTACTTTCCAATCCAACTTGGACAAAGTTGCTTTGCCCTTCAACTTCCCATTTTTAAAAATTATTTGGCTTAATGTGAAAGTAACTATTTTATACAATTTTGGCCTTAGGCTCACTTCTCAACTAATCTCCACGATACATCTAAACCACTTTTTTTTGCAAATCTCCCAACCCTGGTAACATGTCATCATACCAACCGTCAAGTGGAAGATCATTTTTATCGTTAGGGTTAGGCTGAAAAGGTATATTTCAGTCACAAGATCTTTGAATAAACTGTGAAAATAAGTGACGATGACTAATTAAAATGGGGTATTATTCCAACTTGTCAGTACATAAAAATGAAAATTATCGTAAATAATTGATAGCATCCCATAAACTAGTTCATATTTCTCACAGACTAGGTATGAATATACTCTTACATGTTGCAAATAAAGCGTTTTTGAGCTATTTTCTTAGCATTTAGCGGGTTGTCTTTTATTTATTTCACGAACAAATCCCAAAATTAGTCAAGTTTCTTTTGTTATACTGTCGTTCGGTGCCATAAATTAACTAAATTAATCGGTTAATCTTGCATTATACTATGTGAATAAAAATATTCATTTGACTTCACTATTATTCATCAATCATATACATTTTAGTGCGATTGTACATGTGCATGTGTAGACAGAAGAACTCAAAAGTGGTAATTTAGAATAATCGGAAATGTAGATGCATTAGATTCATCATTGTAATTGCTTAATTAATTTACTTTTATTCCAAATTGGACAAAGTGCTTTGCCCGTCAACTGGCAGTTTTTACCAAATTTCTTCTCTCCATTCTCAACATGTAAACTGTTCTTAATCACGTATCATAATTTCATGTAATTTGCTCTGCAACCAGAGATTATACTTTTCTATAAAGATATGTTTTACCGATCGTCGTGGTCAATAATACAAAGTTCGGCACTTTCATTTTAGATTAATGCCGTCACATGCACACATTCAGCCATACACACACACACACACATACATGTGCATAAATATCTTAAAAAACTAACTTTTTGCATATTTGGTGAGCACGTGTATTAAGACAAGATGAGCCAATTATGATTATTGACTGTCAAGTGCTCCAATTGTGATATAAAAGGTGGCCACGTTTTGATCAGCTCTAATTTACCTACCGTCTGTTACATATTTTTTCATGTGAAATGAAAGCCA